TATATAATGTATAAAAATGGAAATGTGACTGTATTTTACAAAGTAGTAGTCTACTAAAACACAGCCAAGAAAGGTTACTTTGTAAAGACCAAAAGTCGGTTTTATGTTATTGGATACAGTAACATAAGTGCACATGTGCCATGTCATTGTAACTTCTGTATTGTTAGCCAGACACAGCTGAAAAGTCAATATAATAAAAATAATAAATATATATAAATGTATAATGTTATCAGATTTAAGTTATTTCATCTAAACATTTATGTTTTCGTATTATAATTTATGTTCATTCTAGAATGAAAGAGGCATAATTTATATTTATTTCCTAATTTTTTATGGTGGTTGCGAGACCGGTCAAATCTACCGAACCTGTACAGAGATTCATTATTGAACATAACAGATAGAATATAAAGTTTTTCTTAAGAAATGCTTGATAACTATCCGGACATTATAAAGATTTCACATGTGAAATTTCAAAATTTTCTGATGCATAAAAGTATTTTTAATGTTAAAATGAAAATTACTCGGCATGATAAATAGGCAAGATGTGAGGGAAAAAAAAAGGCATGAGAGAAACATTGTTTTACAAACCTTAAAACCTAATGAAAAAATTATATATTTTGCATGTGAAAGCATTGTAATGTTTACTGATAGACTGCTAAATTTCGTCAACATTCGCTTACTAATTTAAAGTTATATCGTGAAAACTATAACAAGCACAAAATGGTTACAAGGTCAGTCCCAGGGACCAAGGCCGGTTTGACAGAGTTAATCAAAATTATTTTTTCTGGCTATTACTGTTTTCTGTTATGCAAACAATTGATTAATCTAAATTGTGATTATATTGATTGCCACAAAATAATCAACTAATTTGAATTAAAGTTTCTCATTATTACTATTTTCAATTATTCAACTACTTAAGTTATTGAAATATTTTGCATTAAACTCGCTCCTCAGCCTTTATTATGGCAAAGCTACTAAGACTATCTGCTACTGTCATGATATTTAACTGCAAACTAGGAGGGAAGGTAATTAACTTGAAGCACCATCTGCCAGTTGTTTTTCTTTTTCTTCTTTTTTACTGTTAATGAACTGCTGGATAGAAAGAAAACAAGCTGTTTGATAGCACCCAACAACAGCTTTTTTTCTTGTAAGTAACAAAAAAAAATCACTACTAATCAATTCAAGGGGGCCACTGATTAATGAAAGAGCAAATACAGCTGTAATAAGTAATTACAGTTAATTTTTTACAGAATTATAAATATTAGATATGTACTGATTCAAATTTTTAAGCTACTCACTGTACTGTTAAATTCTAAAGCAGCTTTAAAACCAAAAGAGGGGTGCATGTGTGATTACTTGTTCTGCAGATATATTGAATATTAGCAGCAACTATTACAGAAAAACTACCTATACTGGTTATGTGTTTGGATGCATATACATTTATTATTCTGCCATAGCCATTATTATTAAGAACTGAATAGTGAGGATTGTCACAATAACATTTTCAAAACATAATTTATATAATTTTTGAATAAACAATGGCATTTTAATAGTATGGTGTATTGCTATCTCTGTGTTTCCTTAGACTGCCTGATATTTCCTTCATTTGCATCAAATGTGTTTTTGACAAAAGTTTAGAGTATTTTTGAGAGAGATTATTAAAAAATATTTGATATTTAAATATATATTGGAAATAACAATATGTCCAAGTTAATGGTTTGTTAATTTCAATTTTATATGTTGTGTCAACTCATTATTCATTTTCTTTAACAGGGGATGGCAGTCTTTTGTTGCATATGGTTGCCACAATTTTGTTGTTGTTGTAGATACTCAGCATATGAAGGTATGTAGAAATTATCGTACATTTATGTTTTTGTATATGAATGTTTTGCTTGTTTTACTGAAGGACTCCATTATCCAGTTTAGTTTTTGAAAGGGTACAGAAATTTGCTTAGTAGGTGATTATAGGAAAAGAAAAATGTGCCCTTTGGGGAACTAAGTCTAAAAGCATATAAATAATATATTTATGCTTGTCAGATTGAATTCCCATTTTTCCACTGTGCTAACTTCTCTGTTTCACTGACTTACTCTCTGACTTAAAAGTAAGATACCAGGTATTTGTATCTGTATATGCATATGTGCAAATGACTCATCAGGTGAAAAATTAAGTTTTATAATAAATATTAAAAGCATGGTAATACTGAAAAACATCTTTAATATGGATGTTTCAGAATTTCTTTAAATTGCATCATAAACATTAATATCTCAAAAAGAAAAGTTCATAATATTCAAACTACAAGAAACAACAGTAACACTGAACAAGTTTTTGTATTCAATTGGAAGTTTAGAAAGAATGGATTTAAAAAGTAACAATATAATAGAATGTATGATAAAACACGTTTAATAAATAACATTGTTCAGAGAAACTATTATCGAGAAAGGCTTAAACATAAGTATAAACACTGGATCTTTAAAATAATAATAGATTTTAAATAACACTGAGAATCTAGAATTGATTACATTAATGACAACAGGGAGGAGTTGATGTTATTATTTAGTCTTGCATGATCATTGAAAATGGAGAGGCTTTCTCTAATAAAGAATTTCTAATCTGTGGTTCCAGAGTCGAGAATTTTAAAGTTTTCTAGAAGTATGGGGTGATTGTTATTCTCACTGTGCAATCAGATACAAGACTGGGATGGATTACTTAGCTTACATCTGCTTCTTGCTGAAATTCCCATTTGCTCATGTGCATGTATTTGTAGTTTTACCAATATAGGTAGTTCTACAGCTACCACTAGTGTATTTATATACGACCCACAACTGCATAGGAATGGGTAGTGTCTTTGGTTTTAAACATATTTTAATTTCTAAATGTTGAAGTAAATACTAAACGTAGCTTAATTTGTGGGTAATATGTTTGATTATTTTTTTAATTTGATATTTGAGTTTAAAACTTTGTTTGCCAATTAAAGGAATGATAAGAACTAGTGGATATTTTGAGACAGTGTGTGACTTGTTGGTAGGTTCTATTTTATTAGTTAAAATTTTCATGTGATAGAATTTAAGAAATTAAGGAGATAACTAATAACTAAGATAATTAAGGAGATAATTGGTTTGTAATATGTTATGAATTTTTGTAATTTCTGAGTGTAAACAGAAGTTGTCAGAACAGATATTGTACGCTCTGTTTAGAAGATTTATAACAAGGTTATGTTTGAAAGATTCTGGTATGAAACTGCCGAAATGAGTGTATAAACCAGTAAATATTTTCTTATGGTAAATAGATGTGGCAAAGGGATTGTTTATTTTGTTTATTTAAATGTCTAAAAAAGCTAAGTTATTGTTTTCTTCCATCTCACATGTAAAGTTTATACATGGATGTTGTGAGTTTAGGTATTCTAAAAACTTCTTGGTGTGATCAGTGTTGTGAAAGAGTAGGAAAGTATTAATACCATATCTTCTATATAATATTTGTAATAAAGGGGACAATTATCCACCCATTGATGTTCACAATAATATATAAAAATATTTGCAAGAGTTGGATCTAGAGGTGATCCTATCGACACTCTGTCTATCTGGTCATAAAGATTACCATTAAAAATGAAGTGATTGTCCTCGAGGGCCAATTTAAAATGCTGTTCAAATTTTTGTTCATTAAAGTCAGAGTGCAGAACATTTTTGGTAGGGAATAACTGTTTACTAATTATTTTAATTGTTTCCTCAAGTGGAAGGTTAGTGAAAAAGGACTGAATATCAAAGCTAACCATAACAAATTGGTCTGCATTAGGAAATTTAGATATCTCTTGAACAAAGGAAAAAGAATCTTTAACAGTAAATTCTTTCTTAGTTAGTGAGATTAATGTAGGTACGATATATTTCGCAAATGTAGGCGTGGGAACCAAGAGTAGATAGAATAGGTCTGAGGGGTAAACCATTTTTTGTGTATTTTTGATAAGACATACATAAAACCAGGGTGGAAACTATAGGATAAAGTTCTGCAGAAGTGGTGTCAGAGATGAGTTTACAATTTTAAAAATACCTTTAAGGAAATTCCAAAATGTCCGTATTAAAAATGTTTTTGGTATTACCGTGTTTTTAATATTTATTATATGCATATCTTATTACAAACACACACTTGCTTCTATGGAGAATTAAATAATGGAAGATTGCTAATGTGATTTTTATTTTTAAAAAGAAAGGTTCAAGATAGGATCCAGAGATCTGAAGTTCTATTAATGTAACTTGTTGTTTGCAAGATGTTGGAATCTATCATCATAAATCATTTAGAAAAGCATTTGAAATGTTTGCATTTAAATAATGTTTCTCAACATGATATTTTAGAAAATGGTTTTATTGTTTTATCAACACTCTGGAGTGTTTTTTTATTATTTTAATGAGAGTACACTAGCTGATGTGATATGCCTTGACATGCAGAGGGCTTGATAATGTGCCATACAAAGAGATAAGTTAGTAGATAGGCTACTTATGGAATTAAAAAATATAAAGAAAGTTACAGAAATATTGACTTCTTAGTAGAAACTAAAGCATGCTGATAAATAGGCATTTTTTAAATTGGGAGAGTATGGCAACTAAGGTCCCTTAAAGGTCTGCTTTTGATATTTTTTGTTCATCATTTATGTAATCATTTTTATAGCTTCTTGGCACAAGAAGTTTGATATTAATGGGATATGATTCAATTGATATTGTTTTTCTCATTTAAAAGGACCTTAACAGTGTTAGTAGATAAGCAGAACTTCAAAAATAAAGTTTAACATTAAGAATATAATTTGGAAGCAACTTATTTCTCATGTGAGAGAAGATTAGTGTTAATAAAAAATTAAAAGTGGTTGGAATGATTCTGATAGAATCATAAAGCCTTATACAAAACTAGTATTTGGGTTTAGTAAAACGAGTAAATATAGAAGGCTACATTTAATTTGATATATATTAATTGGTTATTTTTTGTGAATGAAGGAAAACTTCAATTAATATGATGGTCTTTTTTATATTACTCATTCATTGGCTACACATATCACATAAACTTGCATGAAACTTCAAAATGTGGTACTGATCAAACTAATTACCATAGAACATTGTTTTAAGTGCATTAAGAAAACTGATTAAATATGATATGACACTCATGCATATATTTTATCTTAAGGTTTTCTACAGTATAAGTTTGCTATCTGTTTTTTTAAGGGTGTAATTTAATGGATAGAACAGCCTAGATGGATTAAAAGGTTCCTTGCTATCTTTTGATGTTATGTTAAATGCCACTTTGATGTAGCTTATAATGTCGTGCATATGAAATGCATAAAAGACAATTGCAGAATATTGTATTGAGTGCTTTAAATGCAGTATCATACTGTCTAAATATTAGGAGTACATTTGTCAGGAAAATTTACTGGAAAAAGAATTTGAGGAACTATGAAAAGTAAAACAATAGAAGAGATATAAATATCAAAGAGGTGAGACATTAAAACCAGTTTGTCAGGTATAGTAATATCACTTGCCAGACCCTATGAGGTTATAAAACAGCATGATAACACAACATTTCTTTTTCACTTTTATGGCAGAAGAGACTAGAAATATGTTACATAAATCACTGAATAAATTATACTTAGTAGTTCAAGAAGACTATAAAATGTTGATGTTTTACCAGTGGTTAACCAACATTTTGAAAATCAGTTTTCAGATGTTTTTTTTTTTAATGCTTCCAATAGAAGTAAATTGGTATAAATTTGTAGGTGATATGTCATGCCAAGATACATACATGTGGATAACATGCAAGTAAAATGGTGAAACATAGGGAAGATGGTACAAATAGAGCAATCAAAAATATAGGGAAATAAAGGGAATACCACTATTTTTCTTAGGTGTCATGAGATAAGAGGTATTTAATGAGGTGAAACCAGGAATTTATTTATTATTTTAAGTAATTGGTTGTTTTAGTTACATTTGAGAGAGAGAATTCTAATATGTTAAAGCATCTAACATACTAATTGTTTTGTGTGGAATTTTATCAAGTTTTTCTGAAAGTCAAGATGCATGACAAAAACTGATGTATCCATTCCAGAAAAAGTGGAAACCTAACCTGCATCAATTGCTCACTTCATGTATTTGTAATGTTCCTTCTTACTGATTTTACAAGTGCAAATATTTGAAGCTATCAGCTGATTATAGTAAAATGGTACCGTGTTTAAAAAAAAGCCTGAACCATTAAATGAATACTATCTTGCAGTTTTGAAAGAATCATCATTTATTTGGCAGAAAACAATAAATACATATAGTTTAAAGAATGGAAATGTGTATTACAATGAATCATCTTTAGTTTTCTTAACCTTGAAGCTCTTTAGTCTGTCATGCAGAATAAAAACACTTCAGTCAGCCTGCTAAAATATTTCTGTCCTGTATATAACAGCTGTTAATTTGTATTTTTATTTGTATTAATTATTTTTCTTTTTTTAGGTTTTTCAAACCTTGGAGAACCATAAACATGACATCGTAAAGGTGATTATATATCTGGTTTTTATATTTAACATGGTATTTATTACTGTGAACTTCAAAATTAAAGTAATATGACTGTATGAAGTATGGAAGTAAAGACTCATAAAATAATGCAGACAACTGCCAGGTATTGTGATTATAAATTGGTGTCATTTGTACATCTGTTGCATTGTTCTATTTAATTTGAAGTTGTGTAGATGGTAATATGAGTAGCATTTATTAAATGGAGGTAATGTTATCATGTCTGTTAAAAACTCCAGTAATGACTCCAAAATCTCAAAGTAATAAAACAAGTTATTTATGTAAAGAAGAAATCATGGTTTGTCTTTTACAGTATTCTTTCATTATGAGTCTCATATTGTAATAGTAGTTACTGTCTTTAATTTCACATAAAAGCCCTTGTTGTATTTATTTTGAGTTTTTTGTTGTTGTTTAGTTGTATCATTTTTCAATATAACAAAGCTATGAAGAATGGTTTTGTGTATTAGGTGAAGTGGTCTAAGGAAGCCCACTACCACGATCAGTGGTTTCCATACAACCTAAAGTTGGCTTCTGCTGATACTGGTGGTAGTATTGTTATATGGAATGTGGCTGAAGCAACAGTGAAGGCATCATTTTCTGATGGAACCAGAGCTGTAACAGGTACATATAATACCTTCTCTGAAATGTGATTATATTACTTATAATTAATGGATATAATTGATCACATGTGAGCATTAATTACATCAATTAGCATCATGTAAGATAATGAGTTAACTGAAATTATGATTAGATTAATTAATGTCATGAAAATAATCAGTACTTCTCTGTACCACTAAGAGCTGTTATCTCAACTGCAGCTGCTTTGGAATTTCCTGCATATGCCATAAGCCTTGAACAAACTCCCACCACCAACATGTGTTTACTTGTATTGTGCCAGCCTATAACATAATTATCATAATGCTGTAGCCCTCCACCAATAGGAGGGTGATATGACCTCCATTTGAGGTAATCCCTGTGAGCACTAGCACATGATAATAGGCTCATTTTTCCTCTGCTGTATCTGTGTTCAGATGTATACTTTTCCTTTGCTTTTTCAGTTTATAGTCAACTTAATCAACTGCTTTTTTTTATTAGTGCTACATTGCTTTCATCCTTGTTGCACTTGTGTTACATTCACTTTATTGCAATTTTGTTTTCTTTATCCATCACATTTTTACTTTAGGCTTCTTTCAATAACGTATGCTGTGTAAAATATTTAAAAAAAGTCTCAAAGTCAAGACATTTCTTTTCAGTCATTTTCTCCAACTGACTGAATGGCGACTGGAGGCACTTTATCTATTCATGGACCTGACATTCAGTTGTTGTCCATTATGGAGATGTAATGAACCATGGTATGCCAGTAAGTTAACTGATGATATTCCTGCATTCATGCATCAGGTGGTTGATTCCCTTTTGCCTATTTCTTCTTCAGTTCAGGTTCATAGTAATTTGATTTCTTTGCCTTCTGTGGAGTCTGCCTCACTTGTGGTCACTTTTTGTTACCTTTTCCATCTCCAGCCTTTGTTTCTGGCTCTTCACTTCCTAATGAGGAACTGGTATTTTCTTATTTTCTGTTTGCAACATTCATGAATCAGGTATTTTATATTCTATCTTTTCTATCTCTTTATGAGAATGTGTTTCTAGTTGTTTAACTCCATGTGCTTCTTACCAACTTCACATTGTCCCACGTCTTTCTTGTCCTACCCATATTTGTGACTCCTTAACTGTAGCCTCGTGTATTGGTCCTTTTATATTTTTTTATCCCCATTCTGTTGTATCCTTTCTTACTGCTTGGGGTACTTCTCTTTCTCCTTCTTTCCAATTATCTGCTTGTATTTGTCTAACTTTATTTTTTCGTTTACTCTATATCTGTCCTTTAGCTCCTCCCTAATGCTTATCTTTTGAACCCCAATAGTTTTGATGGGGACCCCTGTGGTTACCATTTCATCTCTCTTGTCTTTATGACCTGATTTCTTTGTTTTTGGGATTTCCTAGTCAGGTTTCTGCATCCCTTCCTCTTATATTTGAGACCTTCATTTGGTTTATTTGTTTTGGGGGTGTACCTGACTCATTGGAATTCCGGGCTTAGATTGCTTCCTTGCAATCTTCTATTGGTTCCTTGATTTTACATCTCACTGGTCCTCTTTCTGCCACTTATCTTCAGGAGTCATTTCAGGCTAAACCTCTCTGGTTCTTCACTATCTTAATTCTGTTTGTTATCCCCCCTCCTGCACAACTAGCCATCATGGTTCTGGGCTCTGGTCCTATTGGTGCTTGCCTCTCTCACTTTACCATCTTGTCTTCTCCAATTACTCTGGGGTTCTGCATTTTCCTTCTTGTTATTTCTCTCTCCTCTTTTGTACTCCACTTCTTCTTTCTCATAGTGCTCTTTTCTGTCTTCTTCCCATGATATTCTGCTTCTTCATCATCTTCAGGATATGGTTTCCTCTTTGTTGATTGCAGGAGCTATAAAACCTCTTTCTCATCTCCACTTAGGGCTTTCATCCCCATCTTTTTTTTTAATTCCCATGCTGTAAGGGGTTTGGCACCATCAACAATTTGTCTCTAAATCATTTTCTTGTTGTGTCTCAATTTTGGTTGGACAACTTTCTCACTCTGCATTGGGCTCCTGTGCTGTGTTTAACTAAGGTAGAAGTTTCAAATGATTTCCTTCATTTCCATTATTACATAGTTGTCTGGCTTCTTCAGGCCCTATTTTGACAAGAATTGGTGATTGCTACTTCCACTCTTTTTTGGGAGGCCTCTAGCCTGGGCTGACTGGTGTAACTTTTCAAGTACATTTTGACTCACAATCAGTTTTATGTCCAAATGAGGGTTTTCCACACCTACTGCATGGGGCGGGCTCAACCCTGTCCTTTGTGTATATGCAAAATAGAAATTTTGGGATCCAAGGTACTTCTCTCTTGCATTTGGAAACTTACTTCCCTGGGAGCCTTGATTCTTTTTGGTCATGCACAAGTGTGTCCTCTTCAGTGGTCTCTAGATGATTAGTGAAACATGTTTTCTGATCCCTTATCTACCCTTGTGTCTCTACCTTCCTCTTTACATCCTTTTGTATTTTGGGCTTGATTTCTTCAACACAGATTGAAGTATAACACTCCTCCTTTGGCTTGACTTGCATCTTTACACCAATCCCTGTCTTTCTGGTCGGGGTGTGATTCTCAAACTACCACTTCTTCTGGAGACTGACTTACAGAGGAGTGTTCTTTGCAAATCAACCTACTGGAGATGACTGTATCTTATTGGGCTTGTCTTCTTTCTCAGTCCTAGTTGTTCAGTCATCTTTTGATGATCTACTTTGACACCTCCATGGTCATTAATTAAATCAACTGCCAGGAAGGTACCTGCTTTCAGGACCTGTGTTTTGTGACTTTATATTGGGCCTACAGTTGTTGTGTTTATCTTATGGCATGTTATGTTTCTGGTGGTTGAATATGGTGGTGGATCTCTTCTCTTACTTCGATGGAATCCTTCCAACGGAGTGGTCCTTTCATCCTTCAATCTGGTGTTGGATTTGTTCCAATTTTGGAAACTCTCAGGTTGATACTTGTGTGACTCCTACTTTGGAAGTTTTTTATTCAGTTATCCATTCTTCATGTTGGGGTGTCACATTTTAGTACCTTTGTATTCATGTATGGGATTTGTCTGGTCTCTTGCAAGATATTTGAGATTTTCCTACTGCATAGCCCATTTTCTCTTTCATTCTTGTAGGCTTTCTACTCTCACCCTCTATCAATGGAAGTGGGCTGTCTACCATAAGTTCATCACTTTCTTCAGCTAGGTTGTTCTACACTTTCACATCTTACTTCCTTTTTTACCTGGCTTTTTAACAAAGGCCTGTCTCAACCATTGTAGATTATAGAGCAGTGTTGCCCATCCACCACCTTACACCTCTTGTTGAGTGATAACACCCTTTCTTTTCACATGTTCACACAGAATTCTTTAAGGCCTCCTTTGTTCATTACCCCTCTGCATTTCAACCCTCTTCCCAATTAGGACCTTTTTGTAGTTCTTCAGGTTCTCACATGTTCCACCCTTGGGTATTTGCCTCCTGCTCCAAGTATCATTGTCTCTCAAATCATAATTTCTTGTCCTTGCTTGTTGTAATTGTTGTTCAAACATTTATGCCTTGAACATTTCCTATACTCTCTATCATAGGGACTGGTTGATGCTATTTCAGGAACACTTCTTTCTTCCAAAGATCTGGGCTGCATAGGAGGGAGATTGGGTGTTTTATATCCTATTTCTATTTTCTCAGTTTCCTCCTTGTACAATCATTCTGATCCCGAACATCTTTTGTGTCCTGTATGGAAACTGCCATCACATATTTTTATTGGGCAAGACCTCCTTCTCTTGGGACTTGTCCCCTTCCATTTTAACTGGTTGGGTTCTCCAGTTCTTCTGTTTCATATACTGTTTTGTGGGTGAGTCTGATTATACACATGATTATGTCTTCTCCCACCGGATTTGGTGTGTTATATCCTCTCTTGCCTCTTTTCATCACTGATCTTTGGAGGAGTTCTTACAGTCTGACTGGTATGTGAACTACACCTCATTCATGTCACATTACTTGAATCATTGGACAGTTTCATATGTGTCTGGTTTTTGCTCTCCTTCATTCACCATTCTCAAGTCTACCCAAAGGCTCTAGTTTGTTGCATTTTGCTTGTTGTGTTTTTCAGTCATCTCCATATCATTCATCTGTTTCATAACATCTCCATGTGTGTACCTTAGTTTTCTATGCATTCCAACTAATTGCAAATTCCCCAATTAAAACAAAGAACAAAAAATAATAAATAATCAAACTGAACAGAATGAGGCAAACTCACCAGATCAAAAGTTACATGAAGAACTACACTCTGCATTGCTTCCTTCACTCTGGGGCATGAGAGATCCCTTACTTCTCCATCTCAAGCCACTGGGGATGTTGATAGGGAGAGATTTCTCTACAAATGGCATTTTCTCCTTTCTCCCTGATAAGAGACCAGTTGGGCTCACTCCTTCATTGAGATGTAAGGCTGGGGTGTTCCCTGGAAGTGTAGTACAGGACATCCCTATTACAATATCTTTGATGCAGTTCCCAGTGGATATGTCCAGCTGGATGAGGCTTGGATTTGCAGGGAGAGCTTCTCCTCCATCCAGCTGTTATTACAATATCTATGTTATGTAACTAATTCACTAAGACAGAACAGCCTAACACCCTCACTACACTACACACTTTAATGTTCTATCCAACCTTTGTGACACATTACCAATAGCACTGAATTTACCTGATATCCTTTACTGTAATTCTTTGTAATGTATATGAAATTATATCAATGTACAAATAACAAGTTGGGTGAAGAATGTCCCCCGCTTGAGAAGAATGTGGTCTTTCATTTGGTGCTGCTCCATAGGTGACCTCCAGTGGAGCATGGAAATCATGCCTCATGGGCTTTTCCCTTATGTCACTTTCTCAAAAAAGAGCTCATCTTTGTAATTTGTCTGCACTGGCCTGTCCACATTTTCAATATGGGATTCCATTGCTTAATGGTGCAGAGAGGTAGGTAGCATTTCTGAAGTTAACATTTTCCACACCTAGAAATGTATTTCAGATAGATACTTATCTCTCTATCATCTGCTAGTGCTCACGGGGATTACCTTGCATGGAGGTCATGTTGCCTTCCTATTGGTGGAGAGTTACAACAGCATTATGTTATTGCATCAAAAGCTGGATGAATGCACATTGACATATGTAGGGGTGATAGTTTGTTCAAGGCTTGTGGCATGTGCAGGAAATTCCATGGTAGTTGCATGGGAGGTAATAGCTCTTAGTGGTGCAGAGAGGTAGATATAACTTGAAATATATTTTCAGGTAAGGAAAATGTGAACTGCTTATTCCAACTATCCAAGTCATTAAAGTTTTGTCACAATGATTTCTTATAATTACCTTTGATTAATACTAGTTTGTTCAGCTTTGGACAGGCATAGCCTGGTGATTAAGAGGTGTTTCCTCATGATTTGAGGGTCTCTGGTTTGATTCTAGTTGTCATGAAACATGCTAACCCCTTTAGCTACAGGATTATTATATATATTCATTTGCTTTTGAATTATGGTAAAGCTACTAAGGCTATCTCCCACCACCTTTTATCTAGTGGGAAGGCAACTAATGCCAACTCTTGGGCTGCCCATCTAGATAAAGTAAATTTACTGTTTTTTTTTTAGATTGTGTTATGTTTTTAATTTATAACTGTTTTCTTTATTACATGACCTTGTAATGTATAACTTGTATAACTGTATTCTTTAGTGTTGAATAAACTATAAATTTTTGTACATTGTATGTGTGCTATGTTTGTAACATCACACCTCTTATTTTCCTGAATTTATGTTCTGCTGGAAGTTATGACAAGCACAATGTGGCATGTTTCAAACCTGCAACTACTATTACAGGGCAAATATTTGCAAAGTGGTATTTGTTAATTACTTAGTTATTCCAGTCTTTCAACCATGTGATTTGATATATTACAAATATAAATGTACCAATCAATTTTCAATAAACAGTAACAAAATAAATAAATATATCATTAAAATTTGTAAGTATCAATCATTTGGTTAAATTAACAAGAAAATCATGATGATATATATACATTTTATTTTATGTTATACTTTATATTGTACAGAATAATATTATAAAACATACAAAGCATTTACTGAGTCAGTCTGGGTGAAAGGTCATTTATGTGCTAAGAATAAAAATACTTCTTTTCATCCTACAGTTTTCATATTTCATATGATAAAAATTTGTATTTCATTTCTTATTTTCTCTGCCTTAACAGTAATTGTAGAGAAATAATGAATGTACAGTAAAATGAAAAGTTGAAAAATATGAAATAAAATGAATAATACCATTTTTTTCTCTGCCCTAATTAAAGTATTGATCAGAAAGTTCCAAAATATTTATCATAACAGTTTCAACTGTATATCTTTTCATATTTGTTTCCTTTTAATTCTTTGGTTTTATTGCTGTATTTTATGCCCACTGGAGCAGTAATTCTTGCATCAAAAACACAAAATTACAATGGCATCGATTAAGAAATGCTCAATAAAGTATTAAAACTTGTTGATAATATTAAAGTCTTGGGTGTTGCTGCTGTGAGGAGAATGTTGCTGCTTTACAAAAGGATCATTTGGGAAGTTGGGCATATAAATGGCAGATAAATTTTAGTTATAATAAATGCAAGTTGCTGCATATGGGTTATAATTTGAATTATATGTATAATTCTGAAGCAGTAACCTTAACAGTATTATACATCTAGAAGAAAAAAGATCTTGGTGTTTTATTTGATCATTATTTTAATACATCCAAGCAGTGTGCTATTACTAATGTAGGGCTAATAGGATTTTAGGGTGTATTTACAGAAATATTGAATGAAAGTTTAAAGAGGTTATAATTTCATTGTATAGGTTGCTAGTTAGACCACATTTGTACTTGAGTATTGTGTTCACTCTTGGACTTCTTATCGTACAAAGAACATTGAACTGTTGGAAAGGGTTTAGAGGATGGAAATATTGTCATATAAGAATAAGTTAAGATCTCTGAAATTGTTTTCTTTTGAAAAAAAGAAAAGTTAGAAAGGATCTGGTTGAGGTTTATAAGAGTGTTAAGAGAATATAGTGTCAATACATCATTTTTTTTCGTACTTAATGGTGAGAATGGTAGGACTAGTGGACACAAGTATAAATTTTGACAAGGTAGGAATTATTTTCAGTTAAGACAGTTTCATTTTTCTAATATAGTACTTTACTTTTAAAAAGGATTGCCTTCAGATGTGGTGGAAGCAGTAAATTTAAAAGAGGGAAGGCTTAATCAATATTTGAATGATAAGGACTGACTTTGAGTTCCTTTTTTTTTTTCAGTAGTTTAATGTGGATGGAACAGCCTAGGTGGACCAATAAATCCTTTGTTGTCCTTACGTGTTATATTCAATTTCAGAGGAGGCAGCAAAGGCTATGCTAAGTCATCTTTTACTCAGTTAAAAGAAATTTGTATCTGTTGAATCATGATTGTCAGAGGCTTAAAGTACTGAATACAAGTATAAAAAAAGTTACAGCTTATTCACAAAATTGAAAACTGGAAAATTTAGGCATCCCAAAAGGATCTATTGGAACACCCTATGTATGCCCTCACAGATGCATTGGCTACTCTTATATAAAACATTGTTGGGAAATCCCCAAGTTTTCTAATATCCTATATAATATAATTATACACATACTTTCAGCAGGATAATGTTCTTTCATGGAAGTTTTGGGATTAATCCATAGACTTTGCAGACATTCACTGGTTTACTTCTGCAGCTGTATATTGCTGTTTATGTATTAGAAACAGGGAGAAAAAAAAAGAAACCAACTGTGTTTTCACTTGTATAAATGGTTTCAATCCTATCAACTCAGAAAAATCAAAGCAGTGAATGTTGGAGAAATCCAAGGTTTATCTGAAATAAGTGTTGAATAATGGATGCCTGTAAAATGTGCACTGTATGTACATATCTCAAGATGAATAAATTACACGATTAATAACAGTAGGTATAAAAATGTTACTTAAGTGAATTTTGAATTATTCTGAAAGATGAAGGAATATGACATCACAAAACAAAAAATTCTACTATGAAATCATTAACACCGTTTTAGTGGTTGGGAAACCATGTAGGTAAAACTGCAACCTTATAATGAAGTTATCAAAAAACATTTTTTGCACAGTGAATAAACACTACAATTTTAATGAAGGAGTTAAGTAGATTTTTTAATATGAAGTTTTCTTACGTGGTATTGTTCAGTAAGATAAGATTTAATGTTTTAAAATTGATGGATAATTTTTCTTCTCGTTGGTTAAGTGGAAATTGTAGACAAGCTATAAATCCTATTAAATGCAAAATGTCATCATTGTTATAATCTTTTTTTGGATCTGTTTATTATATAAATATTTGTAATAGAGGCAGAAAGGTTGTGTTAAGCATGTTCTATTAAATGAAGTACCAGATTAACATATAGGCCACCTAGGCCCAGGTCTAGGGTCCTGGTCATACATGAGACCCACCGACCACTCAAGTAAAAAATTATAGTTTGTAAAATTAGCATAACAGAGACAAAAGTGAGTTATTGTTATCATTTCTAAATATTATCAGAGTCTAGGGTCCCGCTAAACCTTAATCAAGCCCTGATTAAATGCTGTGTGAGGAATTCTGTACTCATTTTATGAGTCTTTAATAAAAAATTTTCCCATGATTAGCTGTGTTCATCCAGGTCAATACTTGATACGCAGCCATACACTTCATAAAACTATAGACACTGGACACACAGCATTAATAATATTTGGCTCTCAATAAAATACAAAAATGTGTATGTCCGTCGTTATCAATGGACAATGACGAATGATATTCCACATACATCCACCAAGTTTCATCAAAAAACGATCATTTTTGATTGAGTTATTGAGCAAAAATATTGTGAAAAATCGGTCCCGATGTTAACAGATAGGGATTTTTTTTTCTATGATCTTGCTTTGACCTTGACTCTCCATAACTAATCACTCTTAAGTTGGGTCATAGTCCAAATGTATACCAACTTTCATACAAATCCATTCAGCCATTTTTGAGAAATCCTGGTGTCAAACACATACACACAGGGTGAAAACATAATCACAATTGTGTGAAAAAAATACTCCACTTAATGTTTTTTTCAGATCTTGAATGGCTGTCAGGAAATGATTCCTGTCAGAACTTCCTTGCAGCATTGCATCCTCCATACTCGATCATCATCTGGAACACGGAAACTGGAAGCAAGGTCTGGAAGAAATCTTACACTGAAGTATTGCTGTCTTTTAGTTTTGATCCATTTTGTGACAGTAATGTTGTTTGTAAGTATTAATGATTTCTTCATCTCTGTAGAAAGTCTATGTAAACAAGAAAGTTTTTGGTAGGATCAGTTATTGATTAATAGTATAGGAGTAACATCTAAGAAGTATCAGAAAATATTTTTCACATCATCACTGACAAATGAAATTACAAGTGGAGATCATACAGTTAACATTAGTGAATATGAACAACAACAATTTTCACAAATTCATGAAAGTAGTCTTACACATAAGTTGTGGCATGATATAAGTTTTAACTGATAAAAAAACTGTACATTATTTTATGAAGAGTTTTAATATCTATAACCAGTGTTACTTTTTTTAGAGATGTTTACTATGAGATAACTTTCTAGCATATTTATTCACAGAATTGTAAAATACTCATTGTAATCCATATCTTTAAGTATTATTTTGCACATAGTACTTTGTCCATCTTTGGTATATTCCCTTCTGTATTTCATTTTACACATTTTCACAACTCTGCTGTGTAGCATTGTTGGTTTGACACGTAGATTAACTTTAATGAGTGGTTTGAGGAGACATTGATGCTTATCTGAGCAAAATCGTTTTGATAAGCAGCCATATTTCAGTGCCAAATTTTGTTCTGCTATTTAGAAAATATTACTCCCTTGGTAACTAACTGTAATACATTTTCCAAGCATGAGCAAGCAGGGAAAACCTTAACCAGTCAATTATTTGTTACTAAAGTATATGGCTGCTGAAATGTTTTAAGAAGTGAATTATGTTAACATATTTCTCTTTGAAAAATCTATTCCATGTGATAGTTACCACCTTTCACATAATAGCTTTTCTCAACAACTATATGCACTAATTTTTACTTGCCACTAGCCTTGTGTTCCCACCTACATCCACGTATTTGCATGTATTATGTGTACATTGTAGCTTGCAAATGAGCATGTGACAATCCTCCATCAATAGGATTGTGACACACCCTCCTAGCACAGCTGGCTCCCCAATACTGTTGAATCCAATTTTCACTTCTTGATTTGACACACTTGAGTGCATACATATTTTAATTTTGCTTGTTTTTACTCATTTTTTTTCATATTTCACTTAATTTTGTTCAACAAATAGTTATTTTTTCATTCTGCATTACTTTGATCATTTATGGGTAATTTATCATTTGTTTTATACACTCAAGTTTCTTTTCTTTGAATTCTCAAAATAGTGTTACAACTACAACTTCTTTTGTACCACTTGCCACTATACAACAACTGTCATTTCTGTGTACTCGGGCTTCATTATTTCATTGAGGTAGTTTTGCCTCCTTTTACTGCAAATTGGATTTTATCATGTGGCCTGATGTGGCTCTTGTACCAAGGCCAGATGTACCACTCTCTGGTGTTTGGTTTCTATGATGACATTTGGGTCAGCGTTTTACCACCCCCTTCCTTTGCTATGCAGTCAAGCGTTATGCATATGAATGTTGCCACGTTTTTCGTCAACCACTTCTTGACACAATTTTACGGTTATGATACCTTTTGTGTGTTTGTTAGTTTGCTCTTTCTATACAGATTTCAGGGTCCATGCTGTTTAGTTCATTACCTAGATCTACATTTTATGTTACATATTTTTCCTGGACCCTCAAACCTTCAAGTCTTTCATTCTAGCATGGGATCACACCCTGACAATATAATGTATTTTTCTCAGGCCCAGTTTTCGAATTTGTGTCTATCCCTTCCCCACTTTCTTTGTTACTTTTTCCTACACACCTCTTCTCATCATCTCTATCTCAGACCTCTGAGTTTTTTTTTTTGGGAGACTTGTACCCTCCACTGGTGGGATCTTTTTGGTGGTGCACACTGTTTTCTCTAGTATGCTTCCTCCTCCAGTTCTTTTTTGCCTTTTGTTTGGCGCCAGTCAGTGTTTGTGAGTCTTCCTATCTCATTGAAATCCAAAGTGGCACCTTCTCATAATTTTTTTCCTTCTTATTTTCTGAGGTTCCCAACCCTGCTTAGGCCCGTTCCTGTGTCTTGGACTTCTCTCTTTTCCCAGTGCCTTCTTTCCAGTCTTTGGAAGGGAGCCACATTTCCTACATGCATTTTCTGTAGATACTTGGGTGCATCATATGTGGATAGGACTCTCCCTTTCCCATCCTCCACTCCTCACAGACGTTTTCCTTGCCTCCTCCTTGAGATTCTTTTGTTTTTCTTACCAGCATCTTTCAGAATCGGTAGATGGTCTTCTCAATTGGGATGCTATCTTTCCAGTCAATTACTCTTATCAGAAGTTCTCTTCCTGGTTGTATAGCAGAGACAGCTGGTATGGGTATTAAAAACTTTAATTAAAATAAAGTACAAGAACAATTTTTCGACCTTTATAGGTCATCTTCAGGTTAACAAAGACAGTTGGATTCCATACAGGTCATTTTTGCCTGGTGGCTCTACAGGGACATTCCTTTTATACTTCTCTGTCCCATGTTGTACCTTTTACCAGATACATCTCATGGGTTGGGGGCTTATATGGACTCTCATGACATTGCTGGTCTTTGGGTTTTGGTTGAGTTGAGGTTCCACATCACTCTTTTGGAACTTCTTGTGGTTTGTTGAGTGTTGGATCATTTCCTCCTTTTAGTACAGTTCTACTCCTTTTTGACTGATTCACCATTGTCACTTCCAAATATTGACTAGGGTCATCTGTTTTCATTTCACTTTGTTTTAGAATGTTGGATCTTCTTTTCTGGGTCCACTAATTGCATATTCACCTGTTGACTTCTGGGTGCTTTCTTTTTCCTTGCAGTTTGGTTATCTCATTTCTACAAGATTCTCTCCATAGAGTGATCTTTAGGTCTTCTGATCGTTCTGCTCCCAGTGGGGTGCTTCTCTACTGGTCAAGTTTGCCACCCTAATCAAGGCATCACTCCCTCTTTTCTCTAATTCCTCATCCATTGGCTCTGGTTATGAATACCTTCAGATTGGATTGGAATGATGACTCCAGGTATGCCTGTCCTCCTCTCTGTCTCCTTCCCTGGGTTTTTTCTATTATTCAAGTCACTCCTTTTTGAGTCCTTTTCATTTCCCCATTACATCCTGCACAGCTTTTGTTCCCTGTTCTTCAGCTCTCTCCATTGACTCTTCTCCTATCTAGGTCCATTTTCCTGCAGTACTAATTATTGGTGTTTCATCCTGCCGTACCTGCACTCTTGCTTCACATCTGACTTTTGTCTGGTCCCATGTAGGATGATCTGGACTCTCTGCACATGGGTCAACTCTTATCTCCCATTCAGTCCAGTCTTCTTTTTTTTGGTGGTCTGTAAAAGAAAATGGCAGAAAATGTCATTGATCTCTGCATCATGGTCCTTGCATTCCTCACCATTTCATATTTCACTTGGCTGTATGATAGTGATCTGTTTGTGTCTGTTTGCAGACTATGGGGGTGGCCTTATCCTCTACCTTCCTTTTTTCCCCATTGTTGCCATGTTTTTTCTCTCATGTCATATCCCTCTAGTTTTCATCCTTTTTTGTATTCTCCATTCCTTCTTGTCTTCTGCTCCTTTAAAAATGGGATTTCAACGTCTTTTTCCATGCTCTAACCCAGTTTTTTTTAACCATTGACTATCTATTCCATATCCCACCTACATTGCTTTTTATTTTGCCAGTGGTCATTGGAAGTTTAATGTGTTCTCGTATCTGCTTTCATTGTGTCCTCCTTCCCAAGATCATGGTGGCTCATGAAAAAAACACCACATTCATGCCTGTATTCCTTCTTTTCATTTCCCATTTGTATTCCTGTTAAGACTGAGATTGTCTCCTCTGCCCATTTTGTACTTTCTGATGTTAATTTGCGTGCACAGCTTCCTTCCTTGGTTCTGGTTCCCACCTCTTTTTCCATTGAAATCCTTCTGCCTGTGCCTTTTCCCTGTGACCTTTATCAATTGGATTCACTAACTCATTTGGTTTGTTATTTTTCTTTGTCTTTGGTTTCCCATTGTATTTTCATTGTTTCCTTTCACTATATTTTTCATCTAACCCTATCCATGGTGGTTCCCAAATTAATCTTCCTTGCAATTGCAAATTCCACAAGGCTAGGAGTGCAACTGACATTGTTGCCTAGGAAGTGCTTCTTAATGAACAAATTAGTTTACCTATGATTTCAAATTCAAAAAACACCAAACACACATACTCATGACATTCTAATGATACTCAATACTACAAGGTTGAGTACATTATATGGAAATAAATTTAAACTTGCATAGCAGTAAGTTACATTTCAATTACAGCCAAGTACAAAGTTGCAATGGATTGGTATATATATCAGCGCTACATTTTGAAATGTTTTGGTATTTCATATATTGTGTGATTACTTTTGGAATGACACATATAAGCCCTTTTTGATGCCAAATATTCACACACTCAAATCATAGATATGTTTAGATCAGGGATTTAGAATTTCTTATACAAGGATATTCCTTGGACTTAACCTTATCGTAATGGGTCATGTGTCAAAGGCATGTCCTCGTGTTTGTTGCCTTGCATTAAAAAATTTACTGAACTACTATTTTATGAATTTATTTCAATATGTTTGGTATAAAATTGCAGATTATAATTCAAATATTAGTATTATACATTAGCTAATTTCTTAATTTAAAGGTGAATATTAAAAAGACAGCTAAACATCAATTTTTTGTGGTACGTTGAATGCAGTACTGGTTCAAATTAGATGTTTGTGATGTCAAAATACAGAGTCTATAGTTTCATATGAATTAGGAACTCAAGCTACTGATATTGACAAGCAAGAATATAACATAAGAACCTCTTATCTTTTCTATTTGCTAATATATTGCCCATGTATTGAATCAATAGTGAGCTCAAAATTTCATATTTTTCTAGACCCAAATACAGCTTAGTTACTATGCTTGATATCTATATACTGAAACTTCTTATTTCACTTTTTTGAAAAATGAAATGGTCTTTCCTTTTACTCCCAATCAACAATCAAATATCTTTTCTTGAATTATGAATAACACGATTGGATTGAAATATTTAATTAATTATGTCAAAATAAACCTTCATTTCAGTGCAATATTGAAATTAGCTTGAATTCTTCATAACCTCTGAATAGTGGGTGACCCAACGGGTCACGGGTGGTCCAGTATACTACTAAAACATTGAGATTGTTTGTGTGTCTATAATTAAATACAGAAAAAATGGTGCACAATACCACCATATTTGTAATGAAATGAGAATAGAAACAGAATTTAACAAATTTTGTTAAAATTGGGCCACGGATTACTGAGTTAGCCCCGTTTTTCAGGTCACTTTTATGAAAATTTCTAGATGAATTAAGATACACTAGATGGCGACACATATCAATTTATCTATCTGTCTATTCGTTTTCCACCTGATGAATCACTTTAAAATATCTTCTATACACCAATATATGCACAACAGAAATTAAATGATCAGATGAAAATGTGTTATAACGGCACGTAGAAAGAACAATAAAATGTACCTACAATATTATTGACTATTTGCAAATAGTAACTATGGAGATGAGATAATAAAATAAAAATCAAGTCGAGAACAACAACAAAACTTTATAAATGTAAACCTCTCGCCGAGCATTGGCTATTATATTATTTCCCTGTCAATGTTCCCATCTTC